ACCTCTACCAGAGCCCAGCAGAGGTCCTGGTACACAGCACTCAGTAAGGGATTATCCTCTGAATTAATTCATTCTTCACCCTGACCTTTCTTCACATTACAGAACGTTCTCCTGGGCAGCCTTTTGATCTTTGCCACGTTTGTGACTTTATGCAATGGATCATGCTATGTAATACGTCATAAGTTAGCTCCAGGAGAGACAATCAAAGGTAAGTCTTGGCTTTTCAATGTTTATTATGTTATTGCAGCCTGGTAGGTGGACCTGTCTGCAGATGAAAACCTTTGTGTTTGTTGTTGTTGTTGTTGGTTTGAGACAGTCTCGCCTTGTCTCCCAGGCTGGAGTGCAATGGCGAGATCTTGGCTCACTGCAACCTCCTTCTCCTGGGTTCCAGTGATTCTCCCACCTGAGCCTTCCAAGTAGCTGGGACTGCAGGTACCCACCACCATGCCCAGCTAATTTTTGTGTTTTTGGTAAAGACAGGGCTTTGCCACGTTGGCCAGGCTGGTTTCGAACTTCTCACCTTGGTTGATACACTTGCCTCAGCCTCCCAAAGTGTTGGGATAATAGACGTGAGCCACTGTACCTGGCCTCACTTGGGGAGCCTTGTAAGAATACAGTGGCCTGGGCCCTGCACCCAGAGGTAGATTTCATTGTTCTAGGGTAGGGCTGAGACATAGGTGTTTTTCAAGTACCCAAGATGTTTCACATGTGCACCCAGGGTTGAAAACCACCGATGCAAGGCAAAGGGAAGTGTAGAAGTGAGATATTGATTGAGAGAGAATCCAGCAGGAAAAACCTTGGTCCCAAGTACCCCTAGGCTCATATGGCTAACTCATTCAAGAAAAGGGCCTTATTTTTTTCTTGAAATACCTGTTCTGAAATAAAAGTCAGAAGGATGTAAGTTTTCTGTATGACAACATTACCAGTAGCACGAACTCAACAGTACTGGAATTAGCCATGTGTGAATCCAAGAGCACCATTTTTCAATACCTTTAAAAGCAATGAGCTTCTCCCTCTCTGGAGGGGTGTAGATAGTAGGGGCTGGACTCAATGCTGTGGTAGACCTTATTGTCATTGCATGACTTACACTGATGATGTTGTATTATTTTAGAATGCACGGATCTCAAAGGAAACAAACACCCGCTAGACTCAAGATGGCGGACTGAAGACTGTGAGCTATGTGCTTGCCGTGACATAGAAATATCGTGTTGCTCCCTGTAAGTCTCAAGCCAATGCGAGCCAAGAGGGGGACATAGAACAGCTTCTTCCTCTTGCAAAATTCCATCCCTCATGGGTTTAGTTTCTGTTTTAGTTCTTTACAGACTTTAGAGGGTAGTTTTAGATTCACAGCAAAACTGAGCAGAGGCACAGAAATTTCCCATATGCCTCCCACCCTCACACATGCATGACCTCCCCCGATATCAACATCACACACCACCATCGGCATATTTGTTATGACTGATGAATCTACATTACACATCTTTATCACCGCAGTCTACAGTTTATGTTAGGGCTCACTCTTGATGTTGTGGTAGTGGAGGGTTAGTGTTCAGTCCTATTTCTTTCTTTTTAAAAAATTGTGGTAAAATATACACAACATAAAATGTACCATGTTAACAGTTTTAAATGTACACTTTAGGAGCATTAAGTACTCTCGCATTGTTGTGGCATCACCACCATCCACCTCCAGAACTTGCTCACCCTGTGAAACTGAAGCTCTGTACCCATTAAGCAGTCTCGCTCCATTCCCCTCCCAGCCCCTGGCAATCACCATTTTACTTTCTGTCTCTATGATTTTGACTACTCTATGTCCCTCATATAAGTGGAATCATACAGTAATTGCTTTTTGGGGACTGGCTCATTCACTTAGCATAATGTCCTCACGGTTCATCTGTTTTGTAGAATGTGTCAGAATTTCCTTCCTGTTCAAGGCTGATTCATGTTCTGCTACATGGAGAGACCACATTTGGCATCTCCATTCATCTGTTGATGAACACTGGTTGTTTTCCACTTCAGTCTCATTTCTGTTGTTTTTGAAATTTGATTAGTAGCTTTATTCCAGATGGGCTCCCGAAGACAGGAGAGAGTATCCAATGGTCTGACGCTATTCTAGAGATTGGCCTGGTCATCCTTTCAGCCTTGGCCTTGTAGATTTGCAAAAATAGCAGTGACTCTGAGCATAGGCAGTGGATTAGATGTGAGGGGTAAGGGAGGATCTTGCACTGTAAAACTTATGCTGCTTCACTGCTCAAGTTTACCTCACATCAGGTAAAAGGCTATGCAGATGTTTTCTGCTGGGTTGCTATGGATTCCAGATGTCTAGTATTTGAGCAGACAGAACACAGAGTACCCTTACTGCGGTCCTAATTTACCTGTTTTCTCAGCAGCTATGTCCATACCAGCCAACTAACTCCCAACCCCTCAAGTCCATCTAACCTCTTCATGTAGTCTTGGCTTGTAGTGTTTTGCGGGAACAGGAGTGGATCTATGGCAGAAGCACTGGCATCAAGGGGCATTTCCCAAGCTTGTCTGATCACAGACTCACCTGGGAAGCTTGATGAAATACAGATTCCTGGGCTCTATCCCAGAAGTGACTGATCAGAATCTGTAGGGGAGGGGCCAAGGAATCTCCTTTTTAACGGGTGCCTTTAGAGTCTTATGAGGACACCATGAGTAGAGAAGCAAGCACTTGACTTAGATCAGAACACCTGAGTCCTACTGAACTTGAGGTGTCTGGAGAGTTCCAACTACATTTATTGAGCAAGACCCATGCTAGGTGCCTAACAGAACAAGAGGAATATTGGACTGGGAGTTGTCTAGCTGTTCAGAGCAGACTCCCAGGCATCGCATTGGCCGGATCACTGAGTATTACAGCTGAGCCTTGATTTTGTGGCTCCAGAGATTTAATATTGTCTTTATAGCAAGTGTGGATGTCACTATGGTAGAGTGTGACTGTATCCCAGACAAGTGAAGGAATGGTGACTGGTCCCTCCCTAATATAGGAACACCGCACCCTGGTGGCTAAAGCATCCATGTCACTCAGATTTGGCATCCCTGACCTCTTCTAGGATTTTCCACTGTAGGCTTGGATTCTTGTGGGCCTAGTTGGAAAAGAGCCAGGCTGCTCCTTGCAGGGAAGAGGGAAGAACCTCAATATTGGAGTCAGAGTAACTTGTGTCTGAGTCTCCATTCCCTTGTATACTAGCTGTATGACCCTGAGTAAGTTTCTGAATGTCTCTGAGCCTCTGTTTCACAGTATAATCAGGGATAATTAGGTGGCTATGAGAATTTAAGGAGATTCTGCATATACATTCTTAAACCAACAAACAATGCCTTCTCTGTGCCAATTCTGTGTCCTGCAAGCCGGGGCAGTAACTGACACCCGGTCAGGTTTCAGGGTGCCTTTCCTTTCTCCCGCCATGTTCTCTGTTCCATTTAGCACACTGCTGCACACGGGGGAAATGAACCACCCCTTCTTCCCTGGAATTGCCTCACTTCCTACCAAGTTTGTTTTTCTCATGAACTTTTTTCTCCTCTGTGGAAAAATACAGACTTTGATAAAGCTTTTTCTGGAAGAAGTTTTTAGACTCACTGCACCCTCTACGGGACACTGCCCAGATCTCAAGGTGCTTGGTGGCAGTGGAGCCTGAGGCTGGGGGCCCAGGCAGAGGCTCCCTGGCAGGGCGTGGGAGATGTCCTGGCCTCCACGCTGCCCGGGCTTAGCCCAGGGTTGGCTCCCTGACTTGGGTGAGGAAAAGGGAGTGGGAGACAAAAGGCCAAGGCCATCCGACCACTGGCTCTGGACAGCTGCACACCTGATGTTGACAGTTTCTCCTCCCCCTCTCTCTCTGCTGCTTCACCTACAGAGCTAAGTCTGGTTTGAACTGAAATAAGCATCCAGTAATATGCCCTTTGCCCTATCAACTTATATTTGCA